ATCTATCTATCGTACGATCTATCTATCTATCTACCGTATCTCTATCTATCTATCTATCTATCTATCTATCTATCTACCTACCTACCTACCTACCTACCTACCTATCTATCTATCTATCTATCTATCTATCTACCTATCTATCGTCTGTCTGTCTGTCTGTCTATCTACCTACCTACCTTATCTATCTATCTATCTATCTATCTACCTACCTATCTACCTATCTATCTATCTATCTATCTATCGTCTGTCTGTCTATCTACCTACCTTATCTATATCTATCTATCTATCTATCTGTCTACCTACCTACCTACCTACCTACCTATCTATCTATCTATCTATCTATCTATCTATCTATCTATCTATCTATCTACCTATCTATCTATCTATCTATCTATCTATATCTGTCGGTCTGTCTGTCTGTCTGTCTGTAATATTCTATAGGTTTATTTCTGTGTCCTCTTCTTGGCAGCTGTTTCTGTTTTCTGTGTCTGAGGGCAGATTGATCTCTTGTGTCATCATTTGAAATGAGGGATGTGTTTGTGTATCACATTCAGGCTCACACATAAGCACACTCTCGCTGGAGAAGGCAGCTGTCTGACCTATGATCAAACGTTGGTAATATACCATTCTGTTATCTGCGTTTCTCTGTGGTCACCTCAGTCGCTTTCTCTCTCTCACACACACCCCACGTCTCTCTTTGTACTTTGTGGTTTCTGCTGTTTTTAATTTGTTGAGTGTAGGGAATGTTTCTGTGCAGGTTTCTATGGTGAACTTGAAATAGTTGCGGCAAAAACTCTGCCAGATGCCCGAGGGGCTGCAAATACCTGAATGAAACATCTTTAAAAAATCTTTGTTTGATGTCAAAGAGGAAAATAAAATCATAACATATCTAAGGACCAGGGAAATGCTAGCATTTAAATAATTCAGCAGTCCTTTTGTTTGAAATCTTTGTTCCATAATTTTTTCAGTACTGTTAATCACACAGTACAGGTTAGAGAGGGAATCTAGTAAAATTTTAATAAAATACTTTCTATACATTATGAGATCATTATTTTGCTTTTGAAAGGACACGCATATAAAAAAAAAAGCTTTTCAAAATGTCTGAATTGAAAACATTCGGAGAATCAAAGAAACAAATTCTGATTCAAATATTGTTGATTCAAACATTTGGATGATATGAATTAGTTTGTAATATATTAAGAACCATGATGCTCTGGCACTGCTGAGCTGAATAATTGTGACCTACACATGCATTTACACCACTAGGGGGCAGTTTGTCTCCCATGATACCTGATTCCAGGGTGCATCTGAGGCCAAATTTCATCTGAGATGCAAATCTTGGAGCAACACACATGCACACAGTTACTGCTCGAGTCTGAAGTCCGTTGCCCGAACACTCACCACAACACAGGACCGTCCAGATTCCCAGAGATCTCCAGATCAAACAAAGACAAACGGCTCAGTCTGGAGTCTGTTTGACTCAAACTTCCCCAATCAGTGGCTAAATTACACCATGCAGGATCCAAACAGAAGCAAACAAAAGAAAACAAAGCTGATTGGCTGAGGCAGAGTGTGCAGGGTGAGGTTTCAGGCATGTCTGACTGCGTCTGAGCTGCAGGTGATGCATTCTGCAGTCAGAAGAACAACTCAGCTGCATCAGAAGAGTTTAATCTGTACATCTCGGTTTGGTTATTTCAGGTCAGCTAAACTTGACCAAAGTTTACTGGTTTATTTATGAGGGCCATAACCCAGGACATGTGGCAACATTTGGCTCATGAACAAAGCTGGAGGCATGTTTGCCGCTTTAAGTCATGAAATACAATAGAGCTTTGCTTTTAGACCTTTAAATGCTTATTCAAATGAATCTGACTCCATGCTGAACAAATAGCAAAACAGTTTCTATGCAAATTATGGCTGATTTTGCATCAGAGCTCAAGTGCTCCATGCATGCTGATTCAGTTTTATATAAAAAGGCAAGAACTCCCAAAAATCAGTAAATAAGTAAATAAATATATAATGCTGAGAAATAAAAATGTGAAAAATGCAGAGAAATAAAGTGGCAAAAATAAAAAAGTATAGTTTTTATTTATTTAAAATAAATAAATACAGGTTTTGCTTGACTTAAAGTGATTGGAAATAATTTTATTAGAAATAAAACGGTAAAAAAAAAAAAAAAACTTTAAATATTTTACTTTTGATTATTTAAATAAATGTTTATTTTAAAATAAATTAAGGACTGGCTTAACTTAAAGTAAATGGGGCATTAACTGGACATTAATTATAATAAAAAAATAAAGAATAGGTAAAATAAATTTAAAGTATACATGGAATTGATCTTTTTTAAAAACTTTTTAAAATTTTTCATTAAAAAGAAGACATTTTCTGTTACAATTAATGCCCCAGTTACTTTAAGTCAATCCAAGCCTGTATATATATATATATATATATTCAGAGAGAGCGAGAGAGACAGAGTGAGACACACACACACACACCGGCGTGACTCCGCCCCCTTTGTCTTTATTCAGTGTTTCTCAATCTGAAGGAGGACAGAGAGAAAGAATCACAGATCAGGACACCAGGAGGAGAGACGGGCCGAACACACCGAACCATGGCCACAGCAGACACGAGACCGCAGCACATCCTTCCGTCCGATCCCCGCGCAGCCAGCCTCATGTCACGGATCACCTGCACCAGAACCGAGCTGACTGACACCACGGCGGATCCGAGGCTAGAATGAGGGTGATTTACGTCCAGAACGCCGGCGTGGTCGCTGCTTTCTCGACTGAGATTTTCCGCGGTAGATTGAAACAAAGGAATAACGGAGAAATCATGATCGAACGCGCCACGGGAAAGAGAACACGTCATAACGGAGTAGGATACGTCATAATGGTATAGAACGCGTCATAATAGATTAATGCACAATAGATACATTGTCGTTCTAATTGTGAATGATACATTGTAGCAGTTCATAAGTGCCATAAAACCACATGGCACGTGTTCATTAGTTTCTTTTTAATAATATGCCTATTTAGTCCATTCATAGCCCTGGTTTATCGTTCATAATTAGACTGGGATTATTATTTTCTTTTAGATAGCCTACCATAGCCGGTTATAGGTAGAATAGATAGACACCTCATTTAAATATGAGTCATTTTTGACAATCATAAATTAGTTTATATGTTAACATAATAAACCTTTGCATTGTAATTTATTTATTTATTTATATGCTAATTAGCTATATTAATTAGATTTATATTATCAATATTTCAAAGCATTTAGTCAAGATATTTAAACATATAGGGAGGTGTAAAATATCATCCTCCTGCGTGATGGAGACACAAAGACCAGGTGACCCGCCGGGCCCCTCAGTGCTGACGAAAGCCCCTGAGGGCCCCGGTGAGGTCAAACGCAGCAGCTCTGGTGTGAAGAAACATCATCACAAACACAACCTGAAGCATCGCTACGAGCTGCTGGAGACCCTGGGGAGAGGAACCTATGGCAAAGTCAAGAAGGCCATCGAGCGGCATTCTGGAAGAGAGGTAAGAGCTTCAAGCATCTGTTAAATAAATCAATCTAATGTAGTGGTTATATATCAGAACTGCTATCCAGAAGGTTGTAGGTTCAATCCCTGCAAGATACTTGACCTTTAGTTGAAAATTACTGTAGTACTATGGTAACATCTGAAGGAAATGCCATGATACATAGATGTATACTAGTGATTGAACTTCTGAATCAATTAATCTTTTGGTAAATGAATAAAGAACTGGCCTGGATCTTGGGCCGGCTGTAATTTGTCGTTTACAGTGTCAGCTCTGCTATAATAATCTGTTGTTGTGTTTGGCTCATTTCGGTCCATCTCATGGGAATTCCATTTGCTTGTGCAGGAGCAGATGTTTTAAATCTCCTGTAAAGTTGCTCTAATGGCCCCCAATGTAACGCATCATGCTTTAACCAATTGTCCGTCTTGGTTGCAGTTCGGTTCAAAGGTCACTGCTGACCGCTTGCCGTAAATAATGATGCAATCAGCACCATATGTGTTAAAGACCTTGAGTTCTGACCCTCGGGTCACTAATGAACTCTGACCTAGAAATTCTGCTGTGGGCATCTAGGTCAGGTAGGGCTTTAGTGTTCGTTTGTTCATTAATCAAACATACCGGATTCGTTCGGCACACTACGGCACGTGGCTTTGGTTGCTGTTTGACATTGTCCTCTAAATGTCTCAGTCACCACAGAACCTGGAACAGCTGCTAGGAGAAAGAAATCTTTCTGTTCTGCCAAAGTTCCACCAAGAATGAAAATTTGGTCATTTATTCACCTTCATGTCAGTCCAAATCTGTTCAACTCTTTATTCTAGAGTAGCACAAAAGATATCTTTAAAAAAAACGTCTCAGTGTTTTTGGTCCATTCTCTGAAAGTCAGTGGGGTGCAGTTTTGTTAAAAATAGCTAGTTGCTAGTTCTTCACCTTGAGTAGATTTGTTCATTGTTTTGAGAAAAAAACATCAGCATCTGGCTGATTTGACTAGATTGTATCAAGTGATTGATGAACTTGCATCAAAATACAGTATAATTTGATTGGATGTACAGCTTTTGAAGACAAAAAATGCAGGAAGCTAACTATGAATGACTGTATGGTTAGTTATGTTTTGTTATTAGCATTTAGCTTTGTTTTTTACTTGAAAAAAATATCTGCAACCCTTTCTAGCAGTTGAAATGCCCTCCAGTCATGTATATTTCCATGGAAACACTGTTGTTGGTGGCTGTTATGAGCAGGAAGCAGATATATAGCCTTCTTTTAGTTTAATAATTTACAATCCAGGCTATTTCACAACTCATACAGCCATATAAACACACACACACACACACACACACAGGTCTGAGTGTATCGGTGGGCAGTGTGCCATCAGAGTGTTGGCAGGCTGTTGAAGAAAGTATGAGCGCATGCTAACAGACCTAAAAATAAAACGGTGCACACACTACACATACATGTTTTTTCGTTTACCTCAAACTCAGACGCATGGTAAAACATAATTTGTCATGCGTGTTTCTGGGCCCATAAACATAAAGTCACTCAGGAAGACATACGGTGTTGTTTTCTGGCATGGGTTTAGTGTGCTTAGCAGGAATTAGTCAGAAAAACTTTTAACTGGCCGGACGCGCTGTCTGTAAAGAGTTATGAATTTATTTAATACACGAGTTTCACAATTTGAGTTGAATTACTGAAATAAATGAACTTTTCCATGACATTCTAATTTATTGAGATGCACCTGTACATTTCTCAACGTAAAAACTCTCAAAACATTAATGTTTTTGCTTGCATTGTTTACACAGTCATCTGACACATTTCAGAATGCGACAACATGTGAAATCACACTTGCGTACTAAGCAGAGTTCCTGCACTGCATTATTAATAATTGAATTCTGACAAACTTTGCGACACGGCTGCATTCACATAGTTGTGTTGTAATGAATAGCAATTGAATGCAATGTAGAATGCAATGACTCATTTAATCAACCTTGCATATCTAAAAGTGTAATTGCATACTTGCATTGTGTTACGAATTCCGTTCTTATTTTGCAGCGTAACCGTGAGCTTGCGTACCTACATTATACGTTTATAATCACATACTTGCATTATGTTATGAATAGCACTGAATAATGCAACAACGCACTTAATTGACCTTGCATTCCTGCAAACATTTGTGTCGTTGTGTTAATAGTGCTCTCACGATTTTTGGAAATTGCACTTGTGTACTTAGAAGAGTTTGTGTTCACATACTTGCATTTGCATTCCGTTTTTTTAATGCAACGTTTGAAATAGAGCTTGCGTACCTAGAAGCGTTTGCGTTTGCATACTTGGATTGTGTTATGAATAGCTCTGAATAATTCAATAACACACTTAATTAAGCTTGCATACCTACAAACATTTATGTTTTTTCTGCTTAGTTGTGTTAATAGTGTTCAGACACATTTTGAAAATTGCATTTACGTACTCCGAGGCATTTGCCTTTACATACTTGCATACTTGCATTGTGTTATAAATTGCATTGACATTTAGCAAAATGTGCACAACAAAAAGTTTTCACACCTAAAAAGTTCACATATTTGCATAGATTTTATTTCAGGCCTTTCAGTATGTCATTATTGTTTAACCTGTCTCTTTTTATATCCCCAAAAGAATTTTAGGAGACAAAGTTGATAGCTAAATCAAACATAACTGCGATCTCCATTAAATCTCCTGAGATACAAAAGAACAACCTCAGAGCAATAAAATATTCCTCTGGGCCATTATGTTCAACTCATATCATATTTAGTTTAGTTCCTCTAGGTGATGTCCCTTGCTAAACAAACAAACTCTGTTGCTGAACGTAAGGTTCATTCTGCCGTGATAAAGCTTTACTGTTTGTTATCACGTACACAGACAAACAGAAGGTTCTGACTGTTGATATATGCTACAATCCAGAATGGCATATTCCTGACCTCTACCCCTAAGGCACAGATAACCAAAGAAATTGTGTAACATCTTCTTTATGACTTTACCAGCCTCAGATTCACCATAATGACCCAAGCAGACAGAGAGATAGCATGTGTGTGTGAGCTCTCGCACGTATGAGCTCGTGTTTGCATTGCATTTGTGTGAATCTGAATGTACAAACAAGATCGGATGTCCGCATATCGGTCAGCATTCCTTCCACAGTGTGTGATGAATTGGTCACATGTCTGTGTGAGTGTGTGTTTGTACACACTTGTCCGTCTGTGTGTGAAAAGGTCACTGTGACAGTGCGAAAGCAGACAGACATTTGAAAGTCCATCTTGAGCAGGAAATGAAAATGTTGTGGAAAATGAATATCCTGTATGGAGGCCAAAACAGTCTGATAAAGTGTAGTGGGTTTTAACGGATTAGTTCACTTCCGGAATAAAAATTTCCTGATCATTTTCTCACCCCCATGTCATCCAAGATGTTCATGACATTTAGTCGCAAAGAAATTAAGAAAGTTTCCAGAAATTTGTCGCCCCTTTGCAACCCTAATTGCTAGGTGGTTGTTAGGGTTTTGGGTGGTTGATAAGAGGTTGCTAGGGTATTCATACTGATTGCTATGTAGTTGCTAGGGTGCTTGGGTGGTTGCTAGGTCATTACTAAGGTGGTTGTTAGGGTTTTGTGGTAGTTGCTAGGGCATTTAGGGTGGCTGCTAGGTGCCTGCTAGGATGTTTGGGTTGGTTGCTAGGGTTGCTGGGTGGTTACTAGGGTGAATGCTAAGGTTTTGGATGGATAGCATGTTTGGGGTAATTGCTAGATGGTTGCTATGGTTTGTGAGTTATTGATAAGTGGTTGCTAGGGTATTTACGCTGATTGCTGTGTGGTTTCTAGGGTATTCAGTGGTGATTGCTAGATGGATGGTACAGCGCTGTGGGGTGGTTGCTAGGGCATTCAGGGTGATTGCTTGGGCATTTGAGGTTGTTGCTAGGAGGTTGTTAGCATGATTGGGGTGGTTTCTAGATGGTTACCCGGGTGGCTGTTAGGGTTTTGGGCCGATTGCTTGCTAGGGCATTTGTGGTGGTCACTAGTGTGTCCGGGGGGATTGCTAGATGGTACCTTGGCTATTGGGGTGGTTGCTAGAAGGTTACTTGGGTGGTTGTTAGGGGTGTGCGATATATATCTTCTACGATAATATCGTAATTGTTTAAACTAAATAATAGACAAAAAGTTAATATTAATTGACTCACAAGTTAGACACAAGTTCCTGTTTTTGCTCTATTTCATCAACGAAAATAGGTTCAAACAAAGCCACAGCAGAACTGTTTTGCATCTCTGAGCAACACACTACGGTGTTTTGTTACCGAATCAATCAGCCGTTTGACGAATCGGTTGAATGAATGACTCAATGACTCACTCATGCAGTGATTTGCTGCCACCTACTGGCGATTTTAGGTTTATATTTAAAGTATATTTTCCCTTTTTTCCCCAAAATCATTTCAAATATCACAATTGAACGTATTGTTTTTAAAACATCAAAACATTATTTATGCATTTGTAACTGCAGGTTAACTGCATTCATGTCCTGCATTAAACAGTCTTTGTGAATGCATCTAAATGCCACAGAAGCAGATTCTGTGTCACCTCTGCATTGCAAAAAAAAATAATTTTGTTGATAATGATTGATTTGTATTGACTGATTTGGTAACAGCCCTAAAAAGCAATTTTAACTTGTTGGAAAAGTTAATTTCTGTTACTCCTGCAAACTAACCACCACACAGAATACAAATAATATCAAAATCGTTGGGAGTCAGCTGTCCACAGCAGTCCTAAACCTGCCAAAATACCAGCACAATAACACGCACAGCAAAATATCGTCTAATTATCGTTATCGGCAAAATTCCAGAAAATATTGAGATATCATCATTATCGCACACCCATAGTGGTTATTAGGGTTTTGCGTAGTTTTTATGGCATTCAGGATGATTGATAGGCCATTTGAAGTGGCTGCTAGGAGGTTGCTAGGGTGTTTGGGTGGTCTTATGTGGTTACTAGGGTGGTAGTCAGGGTTTTGGGGTAGTTGCTAAGGCATTCCACATAATTGCAAGGGTGTTAGAGGTGGTTTCTAGGGTATCCGGGGTGATTGCTAGATGGTAGCTAGGGTATTTGGGGTGGTTGCTAGGTATTTACTAGGATGGTTGTTAGGGCATTTAGGGTGATTGCTAGATCATTTGAGGTGGTGGCTAGGGCGTTTGAGTTGGTTGCTAGGGTGTCTGGGGTGATTGCTATGTTGCCTGGGGAGATTGCTACATGGTCAAAAAAAGCACATGGTGTCAAAAAAGCATGCCCCCCAATTTTTGTTCATTTTATTTAATAAAAAAGTAGCATACCTCTACACTACAAGTTTAGAGGTATCAATCATGTTACGCAACAAAGTTCAAATCCCTCTCTTTACAACACCATTAATGAAATAGAAAAACTCGTCTGCCTTTTTATTGATGCTGTATTCTGTTCATTTGGCTCGCACACAGATAAGCAAATAAAAAGCTCCGCTGGTCAGAATCCTGTTTCTACCTCTGTGGGAAAGCTGTGATTTTTGTTTTCTTCCTGGAGATTATTTTAAACTCTCGCTCCTGCTGCGTTTGAACAAACTGCAGCATTAGTATTCATGCCGTCTCCAGCGGACCTGGCGGGAGGTGAATACCTTCAGCTGCACATAAATTCATGAGCTCATGGAAAACACTTGCTGATGGCTTTCCAATAAAGAGCAGGGTTTGCCCATTTGGCTTTTAGAGAACGGGCCCTGGTTTCTGGATTTGTTTATGTCTTTTTATTCCACATAATCAGTTCTGAAGCATTCCGCTAGGACTTTCCTTTTATGGATGTAGTCAGTGATTTACCTTCAGCACCTCGGAAACATGTGGTTTTGGTTTCTCTGAGAAAAGCGGCAGTCCGCCTGCTCGCTCGCCATTAATGTGAAGACACGGGCTGTTCTGAGAACTGCGGGCGATGATGAGAATCTACATCGAGGAGCGGATAGACATGTTTTAGGGACAATCGTTGTGGGTATGACATCACAAAACAAAAGGAATTGACAAAGGGCTTCCTCTTTTCCAGCTAAGGTTTGTCATCAGCTCACTCATTGTTCCATTTGTTCTTTAAATGGACCTGTAGCACACGCCTGGGAGGGTGAGATAGGACAGAAATAGACAGGAAATCACTACCCAGATATCATTTCCTCTTTCCTCCCCATGACATCATCCATCAGTCAGTCAATAGGGCATCTCCTCTTTGCCCACATCCTCTCCAGTTCTAGAATGGTCTTTTTTGGAGTTCTAAAACTCCAGTGGAACTGAGTGTGGAACATCATGGCCTTTATTTTTTTACATTATATAAAAATTTATTTATATTTAAACAATACAGAAATCTATTGTTTGATTATTTCCATGAATTTTAGTAATGTGAGTGATGAAAACTTTTTATCTCACAATTCTAACTTTTTTCTCGTAATTACAAGTTTAAATCTCACAATTCGGACTTTTTTCTCAGAATTGCATGACATAAACTCGCGAGATTTAAACTTGTAATTGCGAGTTATAAAGTTAGAATTGCGTGATATAAAGTCACAATTGCGTATTTTAAAGTCAGAATTGCGAGATATAAACTTGCAGTTCTGAGAAATTAAGTCAAAAATAAAAAAGGTAGTTGTGACTTTATCTCACAATTCTGACATTGTTTCTCGCAATTGCAAGTTTATATCTGGCAACTCTGACTTTATAACTCACAATTGTGAGTATATATCTCACAACTGGGCCAATGGGGACAGTCGTGGCATGGTTAGAGATGGACTTGTAACCCAAAGGTCGCGGGATCGAATTTCGGTACCGGCAGGGATTGTAGGTGGGGGGAGTGAATGCACAGAGCTCTCTTCCACTTTCAATACCACGACTGAGGTGAGACCCTTGAGCAAGGCACCAAACCCTCAACTGCTCCCTGGGTGCCGCAGGAAAAATGGCTGCCCACTGCTCCGGGTGTGTGTCCACGGTGTGTGTATGTTCACCACTCACTGCTGTCTGTGTGTGTGTGCACTTGGATGGGTTAAATGCAGAGCACAAATTCCGAGTATGACACCATACTTGGCTGCACATCACGTCACTTTCAGTTTCACTTTCAATTCTGAGAACAATTAAATGAGAATTATGACATGTAAACTCGCAATTGTGGAAAAAAAAGTCAGAATTGTGACATGCAAACTTGCAGTTGCAAGAAAAAAAGTCAGAATTGTGAGATTAAAAGTTTCAATTAGCTTTTTTATTTTTCATTCAGTGGCGGAAATGGGGTTCCATACATACTGGAGCCTGTTCAGGTCATCATGTGATCATATAGAGACATCAGTGCAGTGTCCTCAGGGCCAATGAGAGAGCTTTCATTCCGCTTCCAAACACTGCACCCTCATTTTCCTAAAAAACATCAGGAAAATTACATAGCAGGAGACTGAAAATATGCTCAGCCGTGATGTGTTTATGGGATAATTCTGTGTGTGTGCGTGTGTGTGATGGGATGATTACACCTCTGTCTGAAGAATCTACTCAGGTGTTTTTCTGACATTCAGAAATAGAATGTTTTTGTCAGAGCCGCGGCTAAGTGGTAAGCTGTGGTGCTAATCCTGGCAATGTGAGGTTTACGCTAACTTGAGTAGTTTCCTGTCAAAAAAGTGGCATAAAATTACTAAGATAAATATTTAATTTAGTCACAAATTGACCAAAATTAGCATCTTTTACAAATACTCTGATAAACATTTTTATTCTTTTTGACAAGATTGAAACTGTAAATCTTTCTTCTCTTCAGGTTGCCATCAAGTCCATCAGGAAGGAGAAGATTAAAGATGAACAGGACATGGTTCACATTCGAAGAGAAATCGAGATCATGTCGGCTCTTCGCCACCCACATATCATCTCAATATATGAAGGTATCTATCTATCTATCTATCTATCTATCTATCTATCCATCCATCCATCCATCCATCCATTCAAACTCAGCAATAAATAAAACATACAATTCTAATAAATAATGAATAATCTTTCATTAACTATTGATAGACTTGTGTTGTGAAGGACAGTAAAAGGTTTTTGCTCTATTCATGCAATAACATTCAAATTAAAGTAGATCAGCCTCAGTGAATATGATGCTCCCCATTCCTGACCAGCATGTGTTTCAGTGGTTACGATCTCTGGTGAAATTCTGTGTTGATCATTTCTAAAGACATTTTTGCAGCCGTCTGGTTTGTTCTGCTGATTCTGTGCCACGGCGGGCCTGGCGAGCTCTCGGTGCGCTGACTCGACGTTTTTCCGCTCAAAGTCCGTCTGGGTTTATAGGGCAGTTTATTTTTGAAGAGTTACCGTATTCATCTTTGTTCTGTGTCATGACTTCGCCTGTGTTGTGGTTGGCCCGACTCAAAGAGGGGAGAACACCTCTTTAAATGAGTCTCCGGAGACTCTTTTTTTTCTCGTGTCTGGCTTTGTCTTTCATTGCTCTAATGTCAGAGTGCCTTTCTCTTTTAATTTTGTGCGGTGTTAAATTATGTTTATGGGTTTGGGCTGGTCGTGGAAATTTTTGGATAGAGGAATGAATTGCTTGCGTACCCGTTTAGCTGTGTGAACTTTCCCAGAGGAACATTTTTATTACTCAAAGGTTGCTCACTCATTGCTCACGAGACTTATAGTCACGGATATCAAAAGTTTCTCCATTTATTCTCCTAAAATTCCTCACAAATGAGACAATTGTTGATATACAGTAAGAAAATAAAGCTATAAAATTAGATGAGGAATGTTCAAGCTCATATTGAGATCTCTGACTTTTGATTGCAGACTATTTTGAGGTCTTTTTTTTTTTTCCGGGAGAGACATCTGAGAAGCGGGAGACTTGAGCAAAGTCTCCATTTAGTTGCATTTAACCTCACTGTGATCTAGGAGAAACAATTGAGATGATCTCATTTGGGATGTTCCTTTCCTGCAGGCTGCATATCGCTGTCGAATTTAGCGCTGAGCTCCGATATTTAGCATCACTGTGAGAAGACTCTGATTTACGCTGACACAGTAAATCTGTGTTACGTTAACTTTGTTACCCCTCTTTCTCTCTAAACTGTATTTGCACAATCCCAGAAGGCCTTGCGCTTGCATTCCCTGCTGTTCTGTGGAAAGCTATGGCGGACAGGAGAGATTCTGTAAAAAGATGAGAAGCGATTCTGGACGTGTGACAGGAGCCAGGGGCAGCGCCAAACGCTTGGGTGGGGTGATGTGTATGAGGATTTTTGGGGTTTTGCAGAAACAGCCACTTTCTGCTGCGTCGGACTATAATTTGCTGTGTTTGTTCCTCTGGATTTTTCAGCTTCTCCTGGTCGTTAACGGCTGTGACCTGCTGAACTTTCTGGACTGGCCACTACAAAACAAAGTCTTTTCATTTTTATGCATCCAGTAGTTTTGTACTTGTACTTTTTCATTGTGGGTTGCATTCTGAAGAAACAAGGCGCCACCGTACATTTATTTTTGACTGGACGCCTCCCTGTTGAAGCCTTGGCCTGTGTAATCTAGACATGGGTCACGTTATCCAACTGGTCAATTCCTGAGGCCTACAACTTTATCTAGATCTTCTTTCAACTTTTATTAGAGACGTACTTCCACTTACTTGTGGAACTGCATTATGGATAAAAATACTGGACAATATAACAGCTTTATTGTAAATGATACTGCTAACTACAAACTGAAATAAAACATTTTTATACTAATTTCAATCTGGCATACAGATCATTAAATAACATTCTGAACATATATAAATAAAACATCACGAATAAACATACAAGGTATAAATAAACTGATCAGATTTTCATGATGTTGTTTTGTTCTGTAGTGTTTGAAAATAAGGACAAGATAGTGATTGTCATGGAATACGCCAGTAAAGGTGAACTCTATGACTACATCAGCGAACGCAGACGCCTGACTGAGAGAGAAACCCGACACTTCTTCAGGCAGATCGTCTCTGCTGTGCACTTCTGCCATAAGGTACACACCTCTCTTATCTCTCTTCTTTCCATTCTTTCTATTTCTCAATTCCTTTCTCTTCTCTGAGAGAGCCTCTTGCTTCACAGGGTTTCCCGCAGAGCTGCACGTGCAGTTATTCGATGAAATCAGGCCGTGCAGTGCGAGTCTATTATCTTTGGCTCTTGTCAGATTGGGAGGAATCTTGGAATAGACAACTGATGTGAAACAGCTTTGCATCATGGGTCACACATTTCAGCATTTAGCAGAGCTGTTGATAGAGTAATAAACCACCCATTTGTACAATTCCATGAAGTCTTGTGTATGTGTATAAGGGCTTTTCCAGTTTCTTACAAATGGATTGTTTTCAAGTCTTTTCGATAGAGTTTGAAACCATAATTCAGGATAATTGGGACATTTCCCCAGTCATCTCAATGACAAAAAGTGTCCCAATTTACCTGAATTCACCCTATATTTATAAATGACGTTTCTTTTGTTTTGTCCACCATTTTTGGGTGGATTTTTTTTTGTCACTGAGCTTGTTGCAATGCATTATGGGATTGCATTCAGATACCTACCTACCTAATTGAAAAGCGTACCAAAATGCTGTCTAATTAGTCAGATTACTAGGTTATGAATCATAGCCAGAGTTCCAGATAAGACAGTCCCATTCCCCCACGATGCATTGCTGAGTCAATCAAGGTCCCCGTGGGCTTGCACTGAGTGGGCTGGTTTGCAGCTGAAGATGACGTGATGTCATATATCAGGGCAGGGGAGCTTCCAGACACCAGAGGGGAGGGTAATGAGTCATCATCGCCATGGGCAACCACAATGTGGGGGGATTTTCGGGTGGGGTCGGCCAGACGCCTCAAGAAAGCAGCCTGTCAAACTGGCGATTTATAGTTCATCTGCTAAACACTGTGCATGCTGAACACATGCATCTTTCATGGTCATCAGACATCTGTAACAAACTCTCTCAGATCCTAAACCCCTTGTAACTGGGTTTCCGGGCGTGCTGTAACCCGATTGCTGTGTCTTACTTTAAAGGAAACACAAGGACTAACTGCACAGTCATGTTCCAATCAAAAACTGGTGTCTGAACAGAACTGTAATTACAGAGAGTGTTTGTGGGACAGATGTCAGCGGTTAATAAAGATTTTGTTGGCTATGACAGTATTACCTCAGATCTCTGAAGTGCATTCTGACATTTTCTTTACAGAATGGTGTTGTTCACCGAGACCTGAAACTGGAAAATGTTCTACTGGATGAAAACTGTAACATAAAGGTAAGAATGGTTCTGAAACTGTGGCTACATCTTACTTCACATCCGTGAACTATATAGTATACAACATTAGGATTAGTGCGTCCCACAAAATAGTATATGGAAATGATGCTGTACTGTTTCCAAAAGATTTTCTCCACCTCAGTAGTGTTTAAATACAAGTATGTGAACTTAAAAATTAAGAAATGGTGGGCTTCATTCATGAAACAAAACAAGCAGGATGTTGAAAAATCACTCCTTGTAAAAGTAAACACTTACTCAGTAAAAGTAAAACAGAAAAATAAACTTTTTGTTTAACATTATTTCTCTAAAACCAAACACTGATGTATTTGTTGTTCATTCAGATTGCTGATTTTGGGTTGTCCAACCTGTATCATAAAGACAAGCTCCTCCAGACCTTTTGTGGTAGTCCACTGTACGCATCCCCAGAGATCGTCAACGGCAGACCATACCGTGGTCCAGAGGTGAGGCATGCTCAGATAAAGAAAGCTTTACAAGCTGCTCTTTATGTTGAACTTCTTTCCAGGGTCATAAAAACATGCTGGAATGGTTTACTACAGGCCTGCATGACATGATGCACAGACATAAACCCTTGAGGTTTGCATCATCGTAAATGAAACACCCCACAGTTTCATTATGTTAGCGTGTGAAATCCACTGTGAGCGGCTGTGATGTATCAGAGACAGTCTGTGTGGTTAGTGAAGCCTTATTCTGCTCTTTGATGGGATTATCCTTCCACATACCCCTAGGAACAGGCAAACACACGCCTTGTGCTTCCCTACTGAACATGGAGAGCAGCTGGAGTTTCTTTCTCCAAATATCTCTGATTATACATGTCAAACCTCGGTCAGAGTTGTAAGGTTCTTTAGAGCTTTACATGTGCCGCTCTTGTGGTATATAGCTCAGGGCTTTTCAAAATGTGCTGCAGTTTTCCTCAAGGGTACAGAAAACACTAAAATGTAGAGGATATAATCAAAATAGTCAAACCCTTGCAATCAATGAAAGTCTCCATTTCTTCTCACCCTGGTGACCGCCTTGAGCAAAACAATTACTCTAGTCTATAAGTAATTTCCTGTGAACTGACAACTCAAGAACCTGGAAAACCATCCAGGCTGCTGGGGCGATCTTGAGTTTTCTGGCCTTCATACCTTGCCCTTTCGACCCACCTTCCACAGGACTTACATAACTGACTGCTTAGGGTGGTATGTTGTGTAATAGAACGTCTCAAAACAGATTGATTGCATATAAAGTTGAAGCTGAAAAACAGCCTGAAACCAACAAGAGTGGAAGACTGGTACCGTCTGATGCTGTTTGTGCGTGCTGGAGTGTCCAGTTGCTTTCCAAAAAGTCATGCCATCAATAGATTTGGGCATGAAAGCACAGCCAGCATTAAACATCCAAGTCTTGTCATGTGATTTCTATCCCACCTCCATATGACAGAATATCTGAAGTGTCATTAACAGTTAGCAGTAACTCAATGTTCTTTCAGAGTCAGCTGACATCAATGCCATCCATTATTTGCAGGTGGACAGCTGGGCTTTGGGGGTTTTGCTGTATACGCTGGTCTATGGCAGCATGCCATTCGATGGAGGGGACCACAAAAATCTCATTTGGCAAATCAGCAACGGAGAGTATCGAGAACCATCCCAGTCATCAGGTACTGGTCTTGCATGAACTCTTAGACAAAGTTCAGAATGCCTTTTGTATAGAAAAATGTGTACCGATGTATGCAGGTAAATGTGTCTCTTGATCATGATAAACAAGAAGCTTGCTTGGTCTTTTGTTTAGATGCTCGTGGTCTTATCCGCTGGATGCTGATGGTCAACCCCGAGCGGCGGGCCACAGTGGAAGACATCGCCAATCACTGGTGGGTAAACTGGGGATGGAAAACCAGTGTGTGTGACTGTGAATCGCAAAGGGATGCTGGCTCACCCATGCTGGCTCGTCTCATTGACTGGCAGAACCGGACCGAGCCTCGACCCACTAAAGCCATCCGGTCCGAGCCATTCCTGCTTGTCCGTCAACGGCCCAAAAAGTCTAAGAAAGAGAATGATGACGATGTGTCTCACTGTAATGGAGATGACAGCCTGGGCCTCAAGAGACCAAAGGGCATCCTGAAGACAAGAATCTCTGAAGAGCAACGCTCTCCAAGTCTGGAAGAAATAGAATCCAGTGTGGGAACCCCAGAGAAGGAATCCGGGCCTGAAGATGAAGAGGGCGAGGAGGAGCAGGGGCTAACAGGCAACTCTCCTACCAAAGCGGTCTCTATCCTTCCGAAGAAGGGAATCCTAAAGAACAACCAACAACGGGAATCAGGGTACTATTCTTCCCCAGAGCGCAGCGAGTCCTCTGACCTGCTAGGTGGCAACATTACACCTCTTGCCGCCAGCTCACCACCAAAGCGAGCGGTTGGTAGGAAGGGCATTTTGAAGCACAACGGGAAATATTCTACATACAGTGGTGCTCCTCCTTTGAGTGTCCTTGGGGAACCTGCACCTGGCGATTCTGGTTTATCCCGCAGTCAGAGTCGCCCATCTAGTATTGTAAGGGAGGATAGGGACACCATCACCAACAGTTCCTTCAGTGGCACTGACTGGCCCCCACCCGGTGCCCGCCCCAACATCAGAGGCTGTGTGTCTGCAGAAAACCTTCTCCAGCTGGCCAACTTCAAAGGTCTCCAGGCAGCTCCTCCCCTACATAGTGGGAAATTCAGCCGAGGAACGCGGGGCTCTCCGGGGGATAACAGCAGCTTCTCTCTACTAGGAGATCTTGATGATATGACTCAGGTGTACCAACAAGCCCTGGACATCAGCAACAACCTGTCATAGGGATGGGGGCCAGTTGAGAGGGGCCTAGAAAGAAAGAAGGTGGAGCAAGTGGAAGATGTTTGTTCGGCATGTTGTTGACGACCAGTGCAAAACTGGGATTCTATGAATGTGAGTCCTTTTTCAATGGGATGATATTGGAGGTTGTACACAACCAAACCTTAACTCCTAACCCTTAACCCTAATCCTACCCTATTTTACTTGACCTTTACTCAACCCAATCTTATACACAGTTAAAATTTGTATCAAATACAACTATAGGAACTATAGCCTAGGGGGATTTAAGGGTTTGAAGTAAGTAAAATTTAAGTTGGTACTCTGGGACATTATCCCCCTACAGGCAAGGAATGATATTAAATGTTTACATATTAAGTATAAGGTGAGTTAGCATCACAGTATGGCATCATGTAACAGCAGCCTTGATTAAACAAAAATAAGAGCCAACCTGAGTTTATCAAGCACCTTAAAACTCTCACAGAGCCGTTTGTGATATTTACTTCCAAAAAAAGAAACCAGGGTCTTGCTCCAAATGAACTGTTGTTGTGTATTATTTATTAATATTTTTTTGTAGATTTAGTGATACAAAACTGGTGTGGTCTGGCAGTACTGGAAGAATAAGAAACTGAAATCTCTCGTTGTCCTTGGTTGGAACTGACATATATAATTGTTATTTTTCTTTCTTGGTTATTGTAATATGACATTTAAACTGCATATGTAATGATCAAACTCGTATTGATCCTATGAGTCGAAGCATATATATGGATTTATAGAAGTGCCTTTTTGTTTGTTTGTTTTTAATTTTTTAATTCATATTAAATTATGTATGTCATTTCCTTAAGGTGGAGAGAGATGCCAGAGGAAGCTGTCATCAGATGAACAGCGTATTATTGTTTTTATTTTATTATTTTATTTTTTAGTTTGTATCGAATGCTTAGAAGAGCCCCAGGACCTCTGAGCACAAAGCCTACCCTACAGAACTACCTGACTTCAAGGTTAAATTTGCCCCACTTCTGCCGAGAGGCTAGTGCTTTACAGTGCATTATTCAAGAAGAAGAATGGTCAGTCCATGAACACCTTGAAAGGGAGTTTATTTTCAGAACTCGCTGGGTAATTCAAGGTGCCAGCATGCTGGATTGGTTGTTTCTGATTGAGTCCTGACAGGAACATGTGTGCATGCACCATGTGTTTCTCTAGAATGGTACTCTTGTGGTTTCTTGATTGGGTTAGCTGACTGTTTAGAGTTCTGGACACCTTCACATTAACAAGGTTTAACTCAAGGTAGAAATGTCAGACACAATCTCAACTCCAAAGAATGTTCAGGCCGAGACAAGCTTGTTTGACTATTTCCAAAGGTTTTGGACTGTAGGAACATTGTCTCTCCTGATGTTTATGTGTTGATGCTTAGGGATTATAATTGCTTAGCTTTAAGAATAATGGATTATTGGTTCTCTGTTGAACTTTGATGCCCAAATCACTCCCGCTAGAGCTAAAAAAAAAACAAGTAGACCAATTTGTTTCAAAGCCGTGATGAGGCAGCAAATTCCAAAGGCTCTTTAGAGGCATGTTTGGACTAGATCTTGTGAGCTTGCCTGTGTCATAGGTTTAATGGGACAGAAGCTTTATTGTTTCAGAATCTTTAGTCCTTTGTTTGTTGTCTACCTGCAGAATTTCAAGTGCAATTTTAGTTTTTTAAGGCTGTTGTCTAAATGTTTTTAGAAGGTAAGTGTGAAGTAGCTGTAGTAGAAAGAGAGGTATTTACCAAGGTATGTTCATGAAAGCATTTTATGGATGGAAGACACTTTTCCAGTAAGAGGGACACATAGAATTATTCACTGGAAAGGATGATGTAGCTTTTTATTTTGCTGCATGTGAAGAAAGACTAGTGCAAGTGTAGAAATAGTGAGATGAAGAAAGTAGATGAAAGGATAAGGCAAGTATTTTGTACCAAAGAAGGCGCTTATGAGTAAAGAGACGCTAAGTTAGCTAATTGGCTATTAGCATTAATAGAAAAATTCATTTTGCACCAAAAATTTCAACAGAAACAGATCATGGGAGGCATTTTGTTCAAAGGTGGTCCTGGGAAGATATTATAGACACACCTAATGTGTATCGTATCATACTGCATTTCTGTATTGCATTGTATTGTCAACTGGATTCAGTGATCAAATTATACTATGTTAGTATTTTTATGTTATTGCGCTTCTGTTTTTGATTCTCCAAAATATTATTATTGATTTACCTTACAGAAGAACGTTGTGCGTATAATCAACGATCTTTCCTGGTCTCTACAGGTTTTTAGTGCAGACATGCAGTGCTAATGCTAATGCCTAGCATTTGCATAAACAGACGATCAATCACAACTACTGCAGTTTCATCAGGGTCATTTGATGTGTGTCAGAAATCTCAAAAGCCGCCTCACAGATCTGACCCAATATTTGGTGTCACGATATTCACTATCAACCTTATTTGTCTTAATACTTTAAGACGAAGTTGAGCATCCACCCAAATGTGCCATTGCTAACCATAGTGCCATCGTAACAGAGATTAAGAGAGGCGGCCATTGCGAATCAAATTCAAACATGCTTTCAGCCAAACTGGAAATACCTGGTGCATATTAGTCAAAATTCAGCATAGAGGAAAACTTGACTGGATATTGTTTATTGACAGTACTGAAATGGTAGTATTATGTTATTTATGCATTATTTTATTATAATTAATTACTTTTGTTGGTCAATGCCATAATCTTTTTTGGGGGTTTGGTATCAGTTTGAGAAACAAGGACTGCCAAGGTATTTTTTGTTCAGTGCCTTTGCTATCTTTTATGATTTCTGTTTAATTTTTTGATAATAAAATTATTACAATTGCATTTTTATACTCTATTTATTAGTGGTGAAGCCATTTCATTTAACAGCACTCATACAAAGTGTGCAAACAAACACTGAAAGACAACTGGAAGAGCAAAATAACAGAGAGATGGTGCATTGCGGTCACGTGGTTGTATTGTAAAGCTTTGGTTGTGTATTCAGCTGCTTTGGTTGTTGTTAAGTGGAGATATCTCGCTAACCAGCAGTGTTTTGTACCACAAAACCAAATTTGTGTAAAACCAACTCAATAAACGAATCATTTCAAAGGAGGTGTCTGTGTCTGTGTCTACTTTATTTGACTGCACTAATGGTTTATTCTTGCGTGCATAAGTCTAATATTTCTCTAATAAGTCTAATATTTCTCAGTTAGTAGACCTCAGATCTTTCAGTGAACCGTTTGGATTAATTGAGTAGTGAGGGTAATGAGTAATGAGGGTGAGTAAATGATGACAGAATACTAATTCTTGGGTGAACTATCTCTAAGCAGGCCAAAGATTTTACACAAGCCCAGAGTACAGAAAGGTGCGCATGAACAAGAGACAAGATCTGAAGGGAGAAATATATAAAGGAGAGGCTGCTGTCTTTGCCAGCTTTAATTTGATCCAGAGCTGCTCTCCAGGGCCCACAGAAACAGAACAAGAGAGTGTTTCAGCCGCGTGCCAGAGAGAAAGAAATATAGCAGACCTGCTGCACAAACCAGACCGACCCAAATACATTTGTGCTGCTACAGTCCTTGATTTTAGTCCTTAGGTGTGTCTCAATCCGCTGTCTAATTCAGTTGTACAATTCCAAGGGAGTCCCATTGTCAAAATTGCCAAAAAATAAAAAATAAACTCCCAGAATGCACTTTTTGGCATTAGCTGCTCACTACATTCACTTGCTGGAGATGTCAACGTGTCTTCTTAAATCTGCTTAAATCTTATAAAGTGATAATGTAGCTTGACAAAAGCATTCGTTTTCTAAACTACAATCACTAACAATTATATGCATTTAGCTTCCACAATGTAAGCAAAACCTGACCGACACGGGATAGATCGGTACTTTTGTGATCAGCAGGTGGCCTGTACGACCTGGCTTTCACTCTGAACTTGTTCTTTGAAGCAGGAATACTGATCCAGGAACTGTGAGAGATTATGACTGATTGTTATTGCTAAAAGGACCACACACAGAAAGACGAGTCATCTCACGCGCGCTAATCAATTCAAGATACTTCTGAGCACATAGAGAAGTCCTGATCGCACTCGCACTCACACATATTCAGACTTACTGTAGTCCACAACAGAAGAACAAACACATCTGCTTTCTCCTTTCCTCTCCCCCTCCCCACAGATCAACCTCTCACTCACTTTCTCTCTCTGTAGTGGTTTGAGAAAGTTCCAGACATTCCTGAAAGGATTCCGCTCGGCAGCAGCCAGTCAGCAATGAATTCCAGAATAGCAGGACAACGGCTAAAAATAGAGACGAGGAGGATTTGATGAAAGTAAGAAAGAAGTCTTACAAAAAAGTACTCTGGCGGTACCATGGTACGAAATGATTTAATGATGACGATGAGTATTCATATAAAGAGAAAAGCACCAAGTACCAAGTAAAAAAAGCAAGTTACTCTTTTTTACAAAAATAGTACCATGGTAAAAACATGGTGGTAACAAGAAGTATACAGTACTATTGTACTTTGAAATATACCATGATACTGAAAATAATACCACATACAATGGTATTTACATGGTATTCTATGGTAGGCTACCATGTCCAAAAAACATATGATACTTTTTAATACCTTTATGTAAGTGTAATATTAGGTGATTACCATTCACATGGTACTTTTAAGAATAACACGGTACTACCATGGTACATGGTAGCACCATGGTACTTTTTGTCAGTATAATACTGAATGATTATCATTTATACCAAGGTATTACCTGTTACTCCAAGGTAAATGAACTTATACCATGGTATTGCTATAGTACATGTCCAAAAAACATAGTATTACCATGGTACCATGTCAAACAAATTTTCCCTTATAAAAATACTGTGACAGTACCATGGTATCAGATAGTAATTCTATAGTACTTTAAAATGTATCATGGTACGAAAAGTAATACCATGTTCTATGGTATTTAGATTGCACTAAGAATTAGAACATGTCCATGTCCAAAAAAAAACATGGTAATACAATGGGACTGCTTGTTAGTTTCATGTAACTGCAATACTGAATGATTGTCATGTTTAGATACCACATTTTTTACATGGTACTCCAAGGTAATTCAACGTATATGTCCACAAAACATAGTATCGCCATGGCATCATGTACAAAAAGTACTGTGATGGCACAATGATGGTATCAGATGGTAATGCTATGGTACTTAAAGGGGTCATATGATGCGATTTCAATTTTTCCTTTCTCTTTGGAGTGTTACAAGCTCTTGGTGCATAAAGAAGATCTGTAAAGTTGCAAACACTAAAGTCTCAAAACCAAAGAGATATTCTTTATAAAAGTTAAGAGTTAACCACGCCTACCTAAAACGGCTCGTTCTAACACACCCCCACATACCTACGTCACTATGTGGGAAGATTTGCATAACACCGCCCAAATGTTCACGCAAAGAAAAAAGGCGTAACTTTTATTCTCACTGTAGTATTGTTGACGCTGCAGCCATGTCCTGAAGACGCTGTGTGCTTCGTTGTGAAAGCGAAACTACTTTGTCTGGCCTTCCAAAAGGGGACGATATCTGCTTCGTCATGCCTAGAGCTGATCCATGCTGGTCGCTGAGGAAATACATCAACTTAGTGCTGTGGATCACCGGAGTCCAGCCCAGGGTCGTCACATGTGGTTGCCGC